TGGTGCCTAAAGTAGCAAGCCCTATCCATGTGAAGGAGTACATACCAATAGCATGCTGCACCACTTTGTACAAGGTGATAGCCAAGATCTTAACTGGAAGATTAAAAACAGTAGTAGATCATATAGTAGGACCTGCGCAATCTGCATTCATTGAAGGAAGAAATATATTGGACAATGTCATCCTGGCCCATGAATTAGTCAAAGGATACACACAAAAAGGTGTATCACCAAGGTGTCTGATAAAGGTGGATATAAGGAAAGCATATGACTCAGTGGAATGGCCATTCCTGAAGATGGTGCTACTAGAGTATGGAATCCCTGCCAAGCTTGTGAATCTGATAATGGAATGTGTTACAACTGTAAGCTACTCTCTGTTGCTTAATGGAGGACTGACACCTAAATTTCAAGCAAAGAAAGGGTTGAGACAGGGGGACCCTATGTCACCCTATTTGTTTGTGTTAGTCATGGAATATCTCAATCGAAGTTTAAAGACACTTGAGCATATACCACACTTTAACTACCATCCAAAGTGTGCTAAGCTCAAGATATCCCATATATGTTTTGCAGATGACTTGATCATGTGTTGCCGAGCAGACAGAATTTCAATCAGTCTGATACTGAAGGCGTTCCACCATTTCTCTGAGGTAACTGGTCTACAAGCAAATATGGAAAAAAGCTCATTCTATGTGGCTGGAGTGAATGAGGAATTCAAAGCCTCAATTCTTGCAGATATGCAATTTGCACTAGGAGAGTTCCCTTTCAAATACTTGGGGGTACCACTGTCAGCAAAAAAGTTGTCCACTCATCAATGTATGCCACTGGTGGAGAGAATTATTACAAGAATCAAGTGCTGGACCACCAAGTTTTTATCTTATAGTGGTTGACTACAACTGATCAAAAGTGTATTATTTGAAATGCAAACATATTGGGCACAGGTTTTCTTACTGCCAAAAAAGATATTACACATGGTTACTGCTGTGTGTAGGACATTCTTATGGACGGGAAGTAATGAGCCATCAAAAAGGGCTTTGGTATCATGGGAAAGAATGTGTATGCCAGGTTCAACAGGAAGATTGGGAATCATGGACTTCTACTCATGGAACAAGGCTGCTTTATGCAAACTTCTGTGGGCTATCAATGCCAAGGAGGACATTTTATGGGTAAAATGGACCCATAACTTCTACATAAAGAGGAGGGATGCCAATACAATGCCAACTCCAAAATAGGCTTGCTGGATTGTTCGAAAGTTATTTGACATAAGAGAATGGTTTGGATCTGTGAATACTTCTGGAGATGTCAATACATTCTGTAAACAAGGAAAATTCAGCATCAAAAGAGTGTACACAGCTGCAAGACCACAATTCCAAAAAGTTCCATGGAAAAACCTAGTACTGGGAGCTGGCACTATACCAAGACATAGATTCATACTGTGGTTAACTCTCAACCAAAGACTTGTAACAGTTGATCAACTGGCAAAATGGAAGATTGATGTGCCAAAGGAGTGTGTTCTGTGTACCAGTAAAAAAGAAGAATCGATTACTCATCTCTTCTTTTAATGTGAATATGCAAAATCGATATGGGCTACATCATTAGATTGGATGGGAGAAAAGCACTCAATTGTAAGCTAGGACGAGGAAGTTCAATGGCTAACCAAGAGAGTCAACAATGGTAGACCAAGAGCTCAAATCATGATGTTCTTATTTGCAGCAACAGTTTACTTCACTTGGCTGGAAAGAAATATGAGAAGATTTCAAATGCAACATACCACCTATACAAGGAGAGTTCGAGAGATTATTTTACAGTTGCATATAAAGGGCCAACAAAAGAGTAAATGGAGGATCTTATTAGAATAATTAAATAGATTTCCTACATGAGATAATGTATAGTATACTAGTCTGCTAGGAAAAGAAACAGAAAGTTGAAATACTGTAATAGGAATTTTATATAGGGACTAGCTCTAGGGTCTCGTGAGCTAGCGGTTGTACATATTTCATTGGTTAAATATAAGCTTTTTGTTTGACAAAAAAAAAAAAAAAATTTATGATTCTACATGTATTTTTGTGAACTTCCCATAAATAAATAATTGTGAAACATGTGGTCCTTATTTTATGTCTGCTAAAATAATCTCTTTTTCCTTCTTAAGTTTGCAGAGAGAGGGGTAAATATTTTACTTCCACGTCGTCCCCATGTAAATTATCAGAAACACAACAAAAAGAGAACAGACTGTGGCCAAGAATTAAATCAAGCCTTCAAAAATTGCCGCCGAATTTCGAACCTACCCTACTTTTCGCCACGTGTCAACGTCTAAATGGACCACACTCCTTCACTGTAATGTCCTACGTTTTGCCCCTTTTTATCACATGTTCCTCTAGTAGGACGTAACGTAATGTCTTACGCTACAAAAAAGACAATTTAAACTAATGACTAAATTTATAAAAATTTGAACAATATAGTGGAGTAATATGTACTTATGTTTAAATTTATTCTTAAATTAATTTATTTGAGCTGACAGAGAACGATAAATGGGAATTATTGTGTAACTATTAAATATAAATTAAATCCTTTATAGTTTTATGTTCCTATAAAAATCGTATTTTTGGTATATATAGTTAATATTCGGCACTCGCTAATTAATTACGAGTGAAATTATTAATTAATTGTGCGTCTATAACACTATACTCAGAGGCGAATCCAGCATTTTAAGTTTATGAGTTTCTAAAAAAATCTCAAGTTAATATATAATAATAACTGGATTACTCTTATACATTTAATAGAGTTTTCAATATATAAATACAAGATCTAGACAAAAGCTACTGGGTTCACAGGAACCCGTAATTATTATACTATCCGCCCCTGACTATACTACTTTCACACTCTAACTCTGATACCGTATGTTGTGCGTACTTTTAAGTAATAAGACTGCTTGCTAAACAAATCACTATTGACAAAACGTCTCATACTCGCACTAACGGGTAACGTATGAAAGCAGTCTGATTATTTCAATTGAGTCGAGTTTTACGGAGCTCGAGTGGGGATCTTTACGTAAATAGCCGAACATATACATTATTTATTTTTTCTAACCATAACATAATTTACATATTGATTATACGTAATTATACACATATAATATATAAACTTTACATATATTATACCTTTACCGATAATTTTTAATTTAAATGAATTGGGTGTTTGGGTTAATTAGTCTTTAGTTAAACAGTTGGGTGCAAAATAACTTCCTACGTGCCCATTCCTCTAGCACGTGAAATATCCTACGTGGAACGTAGTAAACACGTGGTATCTGGAGATACATGGATCCGTAGTTGCAAAAGGCAGTGTTTGTTTGTGATCTGTCAAGACACGTGGCACTCATTCACCGTCCTTTTTCTCCCTCTCTTTTATTCTGCTTTGTCCTCACTTTAAACGTTTAGTTACTTTTTTGGTTTTTTTAAAAAAATCTTTTCATAGTAATATACTATGAATATGAATACCAAACAGGTAGAAGAATCGACGCCGCCGTGCACGGCGGAAGAAGGGAGGTTTTCTGGTGGTGGAGATGGTGAAGATGAAGCGGTGGAGTGTGAGTTGGAAGCAGCACAAACGTTGGCTTGTTTGGCTGGTTGCTCTAAGGTTGGTCTTTTCTTCTTCTTCTTTTTTTTTCGAGTTTCTATTTTCGACCCCAAACTAGTTTGTGATTACAGTATATATTACTCCCTCCGTTTCAATTTAGATGGAGTAGTTTAACTCGGTTAGATGAATAAGTTTGACACGGCACAAAATTTAAGAAAAAGGCACGAAGTTTAAGAAAAAGAAAAGTTCTTAAAAACAAAAGAAAAAGGAGATTTTTGAAATTTGTGATCTGAAAAGCTTAATCTATATCTTCATTAATGGGGTGCTTATGCTTTCCTGAGCGGAGGTTTATTGAAAACAACCTCTCTATCCTCACAAGGTAGGGGTAAGGTGTGCGTACACACTACTCTCCCCAGATCCCACGGTTTGGGATAATACTGGTTATGTTGTTGTTCTAGTTGTTGTTGTGGTTTTAAAGCTTAAGGGTAAAAGCTTTGTAGGAAAGTTTCCTACTAAGTAGTTTAAAATGAAGAGTTTATAGTTGAATTATTTTCAATTGTATAATTGTATCAATTCTTTTTGGAACAGACTAAATAGCTTCTACGAGTAGGCACCATCACGACCCCCGAGGGTGGGAAATCCGGGCCGTGACAAGTTGGTATCAGAGCTCTAGGTTACTTAGGTCTCACAATTCACGGACAAGCTCGGTAGAGTCTGAGGGATCGGTACGTAGACGTCTGTATTTATCCCCCAGAGGCTAAAGAGTTAGGAAAAGTTTCACATTTGTTCTTTCTTGTCGTGCGGTTTGGTTCCTCAATGCTAATTGAATTTCTACTCTGTTCTTTCGAGATGGCGAGAACACGCGCTTCCTCATCTACCGATCAGCAGTCAGAGCCCCCAACANTGCTAAACAAATCACTATTGACAAAACGTCTCATACTCGCACTAACGGGTAACGTATGAAAGCAGTCTGATTATTTCAATTGAGTCGAGTTTTACGGAGCTCGAGTGGGGATCTTTACGTAAATAGCCGAACATATACATTATTTATTTTTTCTAACCATAACATAATTTACATATTGATTATACGTAATTATACACATATAATATATAAACTTTACATATATTATACCTTTACCGATAATTTTTAATTTAAATGAATTGGGTGTTTGGGTTAATTAGTCTTTAGTTAAACAGTTGGGTGCAAAATAACTTCCTACGTGCCCATTCCTCTAGCACGTGAAATATCCTACGTGGAACGTAGTAAACACGTGGTATCTGGAGATACATGGATCCGTAGTTGCAAAAGGCAGTGTTTGTTTGTGATCTGTCAAGACACGTGGCACTCATTCACCGCCTTTTTTCTCCCTCTCTTTTTATTCTGCTTTTGTCCTCACTTAAACGTTTAGTTCTTTTTTGTTTTTTTAAAAAAATCTTTTCATAGTAATATACTATGAATATGAATACCAAACAGGTAGAAGAATCGACGCCGCCGTGCACGGCGGAAGAAGGGAGGTTTTCTGGTGGTGGAGATGGTGAAGATGAAGCGGTGGAGTGTGAGTTGGAAGCAGCACAAACGTTGGCTTGTTTGGCTGGTTGCTCTAAGGTTGGTCTTTTCTTCTTCTTCTTTTTTTTTCGAGTTTCTATTTTCGACCCCAAACTAGTTTGTGATTACAGTATATATTACTCCCTCCGTTTCAATTTAGATGGAGTAGTTTAACTCGGTTAGATGAATAAGTTTGACACGGCACAAAATTTAAGAAAAAGGCACGAAGTTTAAGAAAAAAGAAAAGTTCTTAAAAACAAAAGAAAAAGGAGATTTTTGAAATTTGTGATCTGAAAAGCTTAATCTATATCTTCATTAATGGGGTGCTTATGCTTTCCTGAGCGGAGGTTTATTGAAAACAACCTCTCTATCCTCACAAGGTAGGGGTAAGGTGTGCGTACACACTACTCTCCCCAGATCCCACGGTTTGGGATAATACTGGTTATGTTGTTGTTCTAGTTGTTGTTGTGGTTTTAAAGCTTAAGGGTAAAAGCTTTGTAGGAAAGTTTCCTACTAAGTAGTTTAAAATGAAGAGTTTATAGTTGAATTATTTTCAATTGTATAATTGTATCAATTCTTTTTGGAACAGACTAATAAGGAAAGTGTTTTATCTAATTTGAAACAGAGGGAGTAGGAGTTTTATTTTTTAAATTTAAATTTTGGATTATTATGCACTGAATATGGTTTGTAAATTTAATGCATATATGTATGCAGGCATTGGTCATATGCGTATGTATATTCTTTCGATGAAAAAATAGCTCTTAAGCTTAGTCACAAAATGAGGTGAGTTAGGAGTCTCTCTTCCTTAGATGAAAAATAAATAAATTATAGAGTAGCTTTTATTTTTTGCATTTGTTGTAATGACAAAATGTGGTGCCTTTCTTTTATTTTATTTTCTTTTTACAATTTAGGGAATTTTGTAATGATTGTTTTGCTATTGTTGAAGGGGAGCCTTGGAGCAACAGTAAAGTTGTCTCCGTGTAACCTATAGATCACGGGTTCAAGTCGTGGAATTAGCCACTGATGCTTGCATTAGGGTAGACTGACTACATCACACCTCCTTGGGGTGTGAAACTTCCACGGACCTTGCATGAACGCAAGATGCTTCATGCAGGGCTGCTCCTTTATTGTTTAGCTTTTGTTAATAATTGCTAATTCCTCCCAAAAGCAATGATGTGTAAGACGAGATGACAATGTAAAGAAGTCATTTACATTGTTTGCTTATTAATCATCTAGTATCTCAAATAATTCTTGGAAATAAAGGTTTTCTTGATTTTGATTGCAATCATGAAACCTTATTGTGAATTTCAAAGAGGTATGTTTTTAGTTCTTCTAGTTTACTATCTTTTCATGTATGTTGGAGAAGCATGTTGAACGGTTTAATTATCAATGCTTTCTTCTTTTCATTTATGACTAGTAAGAGGTAAAGGAGAATACGAAGTTTAATGTGGGAAAAAAATGAGTCGAAGAGATGAAGATCCAGGGTTGAGAGTTAAGCACATGAGGGGACAAAACGTAGGTACTAAATTTTTAAACTGTGTGTGCATGTAACATATACTTAACTATGGTTAGATGACAAATTTATAAAACAAAAGAATGGATATGGGTCAATGGTCATCCTTTACAAGATTGGTGTATGCACATTCTCGTATCTAATCAAACCTCTCTTTTACTCTTTTGTTCCGATATTTTTTGGCTGCTATAGTGAAGTGTTCTTATAGAGAATATATATTATAACGTAACATGAAAATTTGGTTCCTTGGAAAATTTGGCTGTTATAGTATGTTGTTATAGAGAATGACTGTTATAGAGAGGTGACTATACTATTTAGCTTTCTTGTATTTACTCCAGAAAACCGTTAGTTCTTGAGTACATAATTGAAAATGCACCTGGGGGATGATGGATGTTACAAAAAAAAAATCAATGGACAGGGGTTGCTCTCATTGTTATTGTCCCTTTATAGGACGCGGAAAAATCTTCTCAAAGCATTGATTTATCGTCAAGATCCAACCCAGACACTTCAGTTTTGTGTGTGTATTAATCAAGATCCTAGTAATGCGTTCTTTGTCATGTTTGCTTATTAGCCTATTAGAGGCTTACACAATAAACTGTTTCTTATTAGCATTTCCATACTGATCACTTTCTAATTTGGAACTGCCAGTGGTATTTCGGGCGGAGGCGGACCTATGTGTAACAATGAGGGTCACCAGACCCCGTAACCCTCAGCAGAAATATTGTATATGTATATGCGTATACCTTGAAAATGGTTAATTTAAATAACTTGGCACCCTGAACTCTAAAAACCTTTAGGGGGCATTGGTTAAGCAGGTGCCCTCATCGCGTTAAAATTCTAGGTCCGCTTCTGATTTCGAGGTTCTGCCTATTAGTAAATAGGTAGAAGTCATTCTAGGTCCGCTTCTGATTTCGAGGTTCTGCCTATTAGTAAATAGGTAGAAGTCATTCTCCGAAAATATTTAGGTTTATGTTCCGCTCTGCATGTCCCTTCTTGATCATGGATGGTAGGTATTAAGAATTTTTCATTGCAATTACCACTTTGCTTCTCTGGACCAGTTCCATTGCCCCTTCCGGTACTGGCATCATATGTATCTCCCGGATTTCATAGGAAGCTGTTAAAACGAGATGTGAAAGTTAACCCTAAAAATTTCAGAAGATAGTAGTTTCTTCGGAAAAGAATGCGAAGTTTATAAGTTAAATGGTTCTAATAGGTTTTTTTGGAACCGTTAATGGTTCTGATATACTTTTCTTAAATAAATTCTTGCTAAAAGAGTTTACCAACCCTATGATAAGAAAAAATATGTTCAGGTAGATAACAAGAAGAGCACCATCCTTGTGCCTGAATTTACAATGGTGATCTCAAAAGGCAGCGATATTGTAATTGATCACCATTTTGTTGTTTAATTGCTTAAGCTAAAAGAGAAGAAAGATCCACCAAAATGAAGGGAGAAAAGGTTTATAGTTGTATAGCATTTCATGAAAAAAGAAAAAAAGAAAGAGTTGTAATATTAGCATTTTTGTAGAAATTGCCGGTATTCTCTCTTAGGCAGAAGACACAGGTCAGTATAATTTGTCTTGTTTTATGTGGGCTTCATTTTAGCTTTTGACACGATTTTTCTGTCTCTTTCACATCTTTTATTGAAGATAAGTTAACATTTTTATCCAATAGAGATTCTCCGTGAGCTTTGAACTATCATTTCGAGGAAAAAGGACTCTAAGAAAGAAAGGATCTCGCTATCTTTATCTAAGCAGATACTTTGACTTTTATTATTACCAGGAGTTTTTGGAAAAGTTGAGTTATGATTTCGCTTTTAACAGGGGCAAGCAATAGCTATGCCACCTGAACAGGAATCTGAACTCAAAACAAGCCCTCGTCACGCTCTAAAATATCTGCGAGTTGCCAGCAGAAGATCTAGGCAGAATTTGACTGAGGTACGGAACAATTTTAATCTCTTATTGATATATCCTTTAGAGTAGTCGGGTTCTTTTGGTTGATTTCTGATCATCTCAGGAGGAGAGGGAAGAAAGAAGGCTGTCTCGTGTGTTAGCAAACAGAGAATCTGCTAGGCAGACAATTCGCCGGAGACAGGTAAGCTGGTATGCTCATCCGAGCTATTCTCTTAAGCAACATAAGTCTATTATCGGAAGTCTAATTCTTATTACTAATGCAGACCACTTTTTAGTGCAATGTCTCTTCCTCAGAGCTCTTGTAATTTGTTGAACACAAACGTCCTTTTCGGTTGTCCCTATGTCGGTTGTTTATCAACTAGTTGAATGCCAAATGCTTAAGATTTCTTAGAAGTTTGATGTTTTGAACTAGCTTGAATTTGAGTCGTAGAGTTATTGTTGATTTTCCTCTTGCAGTCTAATATGTTAGAAATTACATTATATTCTGTTCACTTGTCTTCTTAACAGCATAACCAGCTTAGAGAGATGACAAGGTCTTAATATTATGCAGTATATCGTCTATCTCAGAGAGTTGTACATTTCTTGTGTTCGTGGAATCCCAGGTTGTGGCTAACAGAAAATATCATGTTCATGTAAATATTTCTTCATAGGCCATGTATGAGGAATTGACAAAAAAGGAAGCCGATCTTGCATTGGAGAACGAAAATTTGAAGAAGGTATTTTGGCATTTCTTTGCTCATTATTATTCGAGTTGGAAGCAAAATTTGAAAATGTAATAGATAACTTGGTCCTGCAATCTTAGGTTACTTGTCCAACTATTATATTATTTTTTGTTAGTACGCTACAATTCTCCGCATACTCGGCCTTTAATGGATGATATTTGTGACATGTAGACAAAGGAGCTGGCAGCTAAGGAGTACGAGTCTTTGAAGAATGAAAATACTAACTTAAGAATACAGGTAATCCTTTGTTCATGGTTTTATTCAGAATATGAAACACACACACACACGGATATATATATATATATATATATATATATATATATATATATATATATATATATATATGAAGGGGAGCTGTGGCGTAGCTGGTAAAGTTGCCTCCATGTGATCAGGAGGACACGGGTTCGAGCCGTGAAAACAGCCTCTTGCAAAAATGTAGGGTAAGGCTGCGTACAATAGACCCTTGTGGTCCGGCCCTTATCCGGACCCCGCGCATAACTGGAGCTTACTGCACTAGGCTGCTTATACATATATATATATATATATATATATATATATATATATATATATATATATCATTGACTTGAACACATGACAAAAAGCTATGACAAATGACTTTGGCATTTGCAGGTAGCTAAAATAGAGAAGGCTGAAGTAGAGGAAACAGATTGTGGCTCTAAGTCAAAACCTGTACAAATCTCCTCTACAAGTACAGCTCCAACTCCGACTCCAACCCCAAGTACAATTCCGGCCTCTCTTTTTAACCAATCTCCGATAACACCTTTCTTTTGGCCGTCCATCGTTCAACCTTTTAATGGTATCCTATTACAGTGTGGTTCTCAAAATATTTCTGATATTACATCGGTGCTGCCTTTACCTACTTCAGTTGAATTAAATTCTATTAACAGACAAGAGAGTTCGACCCCTGGAAATCCACTATTTGTACTTCCCCTCCCTTGTTTGATCCCATTTCATCCTCAAAGTAGCAATCTGTTTCTTCCTTGGTCCTCTACCCTTACTGATAAACATACCGAGACTTCCTCGGTTCATCAGCGTAGTACTTCATATCTGAACACGGAGAACAACCGAGCAGCGATTGCAGCCAAGACAGATGCTCCTGAATCAGTAAAAGCTACGCAAAGAGACTTCCTTCACGAAGCTGAACTCCGTTTTCCACCAGAAGGAGGTGCGTCCAAGCGAATCTGGCAACCTTCAAGTTCACACATACAGCTTGGTACCTCTGAACGTGTTAGCTCTCAACAAGACAACGCCCCTGATATCAGAGCTGTTTCTTGTACTGTGGGACATGTAACAGATACTTCAGAAAAGACATCTCAAGAATGCATCACCTCCTCTAGCAAAAATCCAGTCGATGCCCACGCAACAGCAGAGGCTCGGAAACGAAGGAAAGAGTTACTGAAATTGAGAAGCCAGCATTCTGATCAGTTTGGCCGGCACCACTAAGCTTCCGAGGCATGAGGTTAAGGTAAAAAAAATGCCACTCTCTAATGTAAGATTGATTTGAACGAGGTGGTCGGACTCTTTAATGTAAAATGTGGACAAATCATACTATCATCTTTTTTGTTCAATGTGCAGTATGCATCAGGTGCATGTACACCGGGGCTAACTCATTGAAGAAATATTCGAACGGCCAGACGGTTGTAAACCTACTATCTCTTGAGTGAGGCATATTTTGATTGCAGTAAGAGAGAGATTTTGATGTAACAGGTTTAAAGGATGTTGTACATGTAGTAGGAGCTTTAAAGTTTCCAAGATGATGAAACTATAGAAAATCATTACCAGTTTTGTTGGAATTTTGTTTTGCCGAGAGTATATTGTTGGTAATAAATCCCGTAAAAATAATATTCACGGTATTAGTAATAAACGCGGACCACTAAGTTATGGTTAAATCAGCAAGAATAAAAATGCACCAAAAAATGACACCAAGATTTTTGCGTGGAAAACCCTTCTGAACAAGGGAAAAAACCACAACCCCGAGAGGAGCCACTGATATCACTACAGTAAGGAATTTATACCGTGTAGTAACGAGTACAAATACTCCAAAGAACACTACAACACTCAAAAGAAATAACCCTCTTTTGATATTCCCACCTCACTACAATATCGCTCACTCTCTATTTTTCTCATAGACTATTTTCTTATACCCTGTCTGTGAAACCTCACTCTTTCTTTCTCTCTTTGTTGGTGTGTTAGAAATGAGAGCCGAAGCTCTCTTTTTATAGGCAGAGCCTCGCCTACTACACTTGACATTTTTCTTCTGCAGCCTACCCTTTTTGACAATGCAGAAGAAAAAGTTGCTGCCAACTTTGAAAAACCAACAAAGGAAGAAAAGTCCTCCTAAATTCATGGGATGGACCCCACAAATCTCCCCCTCCAGTCCCATTCACCTGAAGGAGGTAACACCGGAGATTCTAGATTGAGCGCATGCCGACAAGTTCTTTGCAAAGCTCGAACTTGTCTCTTGGTACTACCTTGGTTAGCATATCCGCAGGATTTTCACTCGTGTGAATCTTTTTGACTTGAAGTGATTCGTTCTCCACTTCCTCACGAATCCAATGATATCTGACGTCGATGTGTTTTGTTCTCGCATGGTACATGGAGTTTTTGCTTAGGTCTATTGCACTCTGACTGTCGCAATAGACAACATACTCTATCTGTCGCAATCCAAGTTCTTGGAGAAATCTCTTGAGCCATATCATCTCTTTGCCAGCTTCAGTAGCCGCAATATACTCCGCTTCAGTTGTAGATAGTGCGACACACTTCTGCAACTTCGACTGCCATGATATAGCTCCCCCTAAAGAAGTAAACAAATATCCAGTAGTGGATTTTCTGTTATCAAGGTCACCTGCCATATCAGAATCTGTATAGCCCTTCAAAATTGGATTTGATCCTCCAAAACATAAGCATTCATGTGAGCTTCCTCTTAGATACCTGAGTATCCACTTTATAGCTTCCCAATGCTCTTTTCCTGGATTTTCGAAAAATTTGCTAACAACACCGACTGCATGAGCAATATCTGGTCGAGTGCATACCATTGCATACATCAAACTTCCGACGGCAGAGGAATAAGAAATCTTGGACATTCTCTCTGTTTCCTCCGTTGTTGTAGGACTCATCTTCTTGCTCAACTTCAGATGACCAGGAAGGGGTGTGTGGACCAACTTAGCACTTTTCATATTGAAGCGCTCCAGTACACGTTCTATGTACTTCTCCTGTGACAAGTAAAGCTTCCTTTCATTTCTCGAACGAGTAATTCTCATGCCCAAAATCTGCTTAGCATGACCCAAGTCTTTCATTGCAAAAGACTTATTCAACTGTTTCTTCGACTCGTCAATCTTGGAAGCATTTCTGCCCACAATCAACATATCATCCACATATAGCAGGAGGATGATAAAGTCATCATCAGAAAATCTTTGTACAAACACACAGTGATCTGAAGAAGTCTTCTTGTAGCTTTGCTCCCCCATAACAGACTCAAACTTCTTATACCATTGTCTGGGAGCTTGCTTCAATCCGTATAGACTCTTCTTAAGTTTGCATACAAGATTTTCTTTACCTTTTACCTTGAAGCCCTCAGGTTGTTCCATATAGATCTCCTCTTCTAAGTCACCGTGAAGAAAAGCAGTCTTCACATCCATCTGCTCAATCTCCAAATCAAGACTAGCAGTCAAACCAAGAACTGTCCGAATGGAGGACATTTTCACGACAGGAGAAAATATTTCATCAAAGTCAATACCTTTCCTTTGACCAAATCCCTTGACAACCAATCTAGCTTTGTATCTGGGCTTCAAACTATGTTCTTCAGCTTTAACTTTGAACACCCACTTGTTTTTCAAAGCTCTCATGCCCTTAGGCAATTTCACCAACTCATAAGTATGGTTCTCATGCAGAGATTTCATCTCATCTTGCATGGCTTCAATCCATTGATCCTTGTGCTCATCCTTTATGGCCTCCGCATAACATTCAGGTTCTCCCCCATCAGTGAGTAATACATACTCATTGGGTGAATAACGGGAGGAAGGAGTACGAGGTCTAGAAGACCTCCTGAGTGGAATATCTAACTCGTCCACAGCTTCGTGAGTAGAAGCATCTGCCTCATCAACATTAGCATTGTTATCACCATCACCATCAATATGTTGATCTGGAATATGGTTCTGGGCATCACCATCATCATTGAGCCCACCAACGTCATCCGCATTTGTATGAGGAACTTGATCAAGATTAACTAAACCTTCAGAACTTGGAGATTTTAGCTTCTCCGCTTTGTTAATATCTTCAATGGTTTGATCCTCTACGAAGATAACATCACGGCTTCTCACGACCTTCTTCTCAATTGGATCATATAGCCTGTAACCAAACTCATCGAGGCCATAACCAATGAAGATGCACTGCCTTGTCTTAGCATTTAATTTTGACCTCTCATCTTTAGGCACATGTACAAAAGCTTTGCAACCAAACACTTTCAAGTGGTCATAGGAAACATCCTTGCCATACCAAACTCTGTTTGGAACATCACTTTGCAAAGCAACCGCAGGGGATAGATTAATAACATGTGCGGCGGTCAACAAAGACTCACCCCAAAAGGAATTCGGCAACTTTGCTTCAGAAAGCAAACATCTGACTTTTTCCATCAAGGTCCTGTTCATCCTTTCTGCTAAACCATTAAGCTGAGGAGTCTTTGGAGGAGTCTTCTGGTGTCTGATACCTTGCTACTTGCAGTATTCGTCAAACGGTCCACAATATTCACCACCGTTATCAGTACGAATACACTTCAGCTTCTTTCCAGTTTCTCTTTCAACTGAAGCCTGAAACTGCTTAAAGACACCCAACACTTGGTCTTTAGTCTTCAAGATGTAGACCCAAAGTTTCCTTGAGCAATCATCAATAAAGGTAGCAAAATAAAGTGCACCACCCAGAGTTCTTGTCTTCATTGGGCCACATAAATCTGAATGCACCAACTGAAGCAACTCTGTCTTTCTTGAAGGAGGATGAGACTGGAAAGAAACTCTTTTATGTTTTCCAGCCAAGCAGTGCTCACATTTTTCTAATTTTGCACTTTCAAAATTTGACAACAATTTCTTCTTGGCCAAAACATTTAGTCCTTTCTCGCTAATATGGCTAAGCCTCTTATGCCATAACATTGAAGAGTTATTGCTCTCAACGACATTCACCATATCAACACAGGTAGAGGCCGTAGTCCAGTATAGACCACGACGCTTTTCCCCACGAGCCACAATCATGGAACCCTTTAGTGAGCTTCCACTTTCTAGCACCATTGGTACTGACATATCCCTCATCATCCAAAACACCAACAGAGATCAAGTGCAAACGAACATCAGGTTCATGCTTTACATTGTTTAAAACTAGTTTAGTTCCAATACTAGTTTCCAAACAAATCGTTCCAACACCAGCCACCCTAGATACAGTCTCATTACCCATACTCAAAGTTCCAAAGTCACGCTGAGTATAGGATGAGAAAAATTCCTTCCTTGATGTCACATGAGATGCGGCACCACTGTCCACAACCCATCTTGACTCATCACAAGCAATATTTATCAGTTCCGCATCAAGGACAGTAACAAGATCTTCTGTAGTGACAGTGGCCACACGATTGCCATCTTCTTTCTGTCCTTCCTTGTCTCTATTCTCCTTTTTCAAAATCCGGCAGAACTTCTTTGTGTGCCCTTTCTTCCCGCAATGATAACACTCAATATCTTTAAGTTTGCTTCTGGATTTGCTTCTATTATGTTCTCTGTTTTGAAAACCCCGATTCTTGTTTCTCCCCCTAGAGTCAGTCACCAAGACATCTGATGAGGAGGAACCCTGAGATTTTCTTCTCATCTCTTCATTTAAAAGGCTGCTCTTGGCAAGATCCATAGAGATCACACCATCCGGAGCAGAATTTGATAATGAAGTTCTAAGAACTTCCCAAGAATCTGGTAGGGAACCAAGTAGAAACAAGCCTTGAATTTCTTCATCAAATTTAATGCCCATAGCAGATAACTGGTTCATGATCCCCTAAAAATTATTCAGATGATCTGTCATCGCGGAACCATCGTGGTATTTTAAACCCAACATCTGCTTTATCAGAAACATCTTGTTGTTTCCAGTTTTTCGAGCATACAAACTTTCAAGGTGCTCCCATAGGCTTCGAGCATGTGTCTCCCCAGAAATATGGTTCAAAACACTATCGTCAACCCACTGTCTAATAAAGCCACAAACCTGTCTGTGTAACAAATTCCACTCTTTATCTGATTTATTATCAGGCTTTACAGTGGTGAAGGCAGGTTGATGAAAATTCTTGCATAGAGCAAATCTTCCATTTTGCCCTTCCAAATGGCATAATTTGTTCCATTCAAAGTAACCATTCTACTAATGTTGGCTTCCATCGTTTATCACAAATACAAATACTATTTATTATGAGACCAAAGTAATTCTTTTCTGATGTGGAAGTTCAGACTGTGCTGCAACCACAGAGCATACTCAGACAGAACCTTGGCTCTGATACCACTTGTTGGTAATAAATCCCGTAAAAATAATATTCACGGTATTAGTAATAAACGCGGACCACTAAGTTATGGTTAAATCAGCAAGAATAAAAATGCACCAAAAAATGACACCAAGATTTTTACGTGGAAAACCCTTCTGAATAAGGGAAAAAACCACGACCCCGAGATGAGCCACTGATATCACTATAGTAAGGAATTTACACCATGTAGTAACGAGTACAAATACTCCAAAGAACACTACAACACTCAAAAGAAATAACCCTCTTTTGATATTCCCACCTCACTACAATATCGCTCACTCTCTATTTTTCTCACAGACTATTTTCT